TTAAGATTTGTAAATCTTCCCCGAGAAAGCTAAAAGAAAGATTTTCTGTATTAGGGATAATGCAACACTCAAGGCTGCTGAATTTTATTTTCTCTAAATAGATTTTATACATAATTCTATAAGTTTTCTTCATTTTATTTTATAAAGTTCCTTGATTTTTCAAAAACATTTCCTTTAGTATCAGATTTAAATAGCTGGATTTACAGGTAGAAAACCATCAATGATACTCATGCTCCTCATTGTTACCTGTCTGGTGTGATCAATTCCTGGATATGCAGTGATCTGAGGCCTTTTCCTGTTCTCTTTCCCATCTTCCTCCTCTACTTAGACTTGAGGCTGAAAACAGGAGGATTAACCCTCTCATGACCATGCTGATTGTTCTCATACCAAAACAGGCATTTGTGCCTCAAATAGGAAGTAGATTCTCACTTATAAACTTCAACGGCTGTCTTACAGTTACCAATATAAAGAAGCCACTATTTAGCTATTTTAAATCTTCACTATAATGGAACAGAATTTTCAGATATAGTTGCCACTGGATGAGATAAATTTCATAAAGGCAGCACAGAGATGAGAAAGAAAATGTTTTATTCCTTTTAAAGGTGAACACACACTATGATCCAGACAGCATTTTCAGGAGTTACTAACACTATATGTTATTTTTCAAAATCTACCAAAGTCAATTACTTTGTGGATCACAGAGTGAGAATTTTCTGTGATAACTGATCAAATGAGTAAAGCAACACCATACATACCCTGAGTGGCTGTTGGAGGTAGTTTGAGGGTATTGTCTAACTTCTCCCAAAGATAAGTTGGTCGAGGAATGCCTTCTTCTGAGCTACAGAGCAGAATGACATCACTGCCGATATCCTGGGATCCTTGGATTTGGCAGTGTGGGGCAGAAGGGGGAACTATAATAGGAAGAATTAACAGTAAAGCACACATTCACTATGAGCCAAGTGACGATGCTGGAGACATCAACAATCAGTCCACTGGAACCTCAGATAACACTGTTTTGGGAACACGCACCAGGCGACTCTCTCATGGGTGAAACCAGAAGATAATCATGTGCTAATCGAGACGGCTCAAGCACAGGTGCAGGGCCTACAAGCTCAACTGGCAAGGAGCAAATATGTAAACAGGGGCCATCCTTTGACTATCTTTTCAAGGTATCTTATGGTCATGGGTTCACTCTGCTTCCTCTAAGGAAGAACTCTTAAGATCCTTAATGTCAACATATTACCTCTAAAAACATTATTGAAACAGGCCATTTTTAGAGAAGATACTTCAAGGAATAGCAATCACTCACCCTGCCAGATACTCTCTGGCTAAGACTTCCTTAATAAGGCACTTTGCTACTTTACAAACAAAAACCAGACAGGGTCGCTTTACAACAACTTCTGTTTTATGGTGGGGGAAGTTAGAGTAAATTTCCAGTATATCTACTAATTGACAGTAACATAATGGACATCTTATAATCATGAAGACAAATAAGGCCTCCATGACATGAAACAAAGAATTACAAAATAAGAATACGGTGGTGATGTCCCATATCAAGGAATGCAGACAACAGAGTTTAAGTCCAGGTGATGATATATTTGTAATGCTAACAACATTCCAGTAAATGTGTTCACCCTTTCAAAAATGAGTGAATGAATAAATGAACAGAAATGAATGCAAGTATACAAAGGAACCATCTACTCAGTGTAACACAGACACAAGGTAGTAATGTTGTTCTCACATGTGCTGAAACTTCTGCTTGGTCTTCACAATAAATAATTACTGATTTAATTTGCTCTTGATAGTTAATTCTATCCTATAGAAGCTTAAGAAAAATTAGAGGCTATTTCTGATGATACTTTATATCACCTTTACCATCTTCTGAGCCCTGGCGGCACAGTGGTTAACAGCTCAGCTGCACACCAAAAGGTTGGCAGTTCTAATCCACCAGCCCCTCCGTGGAAACCCCATGGGGCAGTTCTACTCAGCACTACAGGGACACTATGAGTTGGAATCCACTCGACAGCAACAGGTTTCCCATCTTCAGAAAAATTCATAAGTAAAGTCTATAGAGTTACTTGAAAGAGAGAAGAGGGTGGGGAACATTATGTGTAAGAAGCATGGAGAAGCAGAGCAGGGATGGGACTGAGAGAAGACAGGAAGAGGACACCAGGATATGGAGATTGGACAGGTAAGAGCAGAAGTGAATATGCTTCCGAAGAGATTCATAAGAAAGCCCAAGGTGCCTGGATCTTGTCCTGTCACTCACCTAACACTGTGAGACCAGTGACCCCAATGTTCCTGCCCCCTCTGTCTGGCAGGTTGTTGACCAAACACTGGTAGGTGCCTGTGTCTGACAGCTGAGTGTTATTAATGAAGATAGAGACATTGGTGGTTGGCATGGTGCCTGTAAATCCTACCCTACCATGGAACCGGGGGGCACCGTCAAACATCTGTCCGCCCTGATAGAGAATGACCTGCAAGAGAAAGCAAAATAAATAATTGGCCACTGTATTCTCTCCTAGACACGTAACGACTACCTAGTAGACAGCAGACTGCACCAAACGTTGGAAATTTTAATTACAAATCTTAGCACTATCACCAACCCTTTACTATAGTCCCTGCCTACAGGTATTTCGGGGTTCTGAATTCTCACATACTAAACTGGAATAACACTGTTTTTTAATATAACTCCTCAGAATACAGTAACTGTCTTTAATTCTACCCTACCATCAGCCTATAAATATTTTTACCAGTTCAAAAAATTAATTCCAAAACAAAAAGTTTTTTTTTTTTTTTAAATTAGCACTGCCATTCCCATGCTTACTAGGTCACAAAATGATAGGTCATAGTTATAGACTAAATATAAATAAATGTGATAAAAAAGAAAAACAGTTACAAGTCTATGATTGCTGTTCTTAATGTTAATTTATATTATCAGAGTTACTATTCATGGGAGATGTGAGAGGACTCAGAGCTGTGAAGCATAAGGCCTTTTGGGCTGAGAGTGAGGGCCCTGGTTCTATTCAAGCCCTGCCTGTGAATGTTTGGGTAACTGGGTTAAGTTCTTTCCTTGTCTTTCTGCCTCCATCACTGACTCCTAAAATGATCTCGAACAAAAAGATCTTGAAATTTCAGTCTAACTACACAAATTCTATAATTTGATGAAAGAAAAAAACTTTCTATTAAATATATATATCTGGATTTTTTACTAGAAAATTCAGCTTATCAAATGTTTTTAGATAATAATAAGCTTACTGAAGCAGAAAAGCTTCTTTTAAGTTGTATTTTGGAATAATGGTGTAGTCATGATCAAAAATCATTAATTTTCTGAGTGTTACTTTCTGCAATGAATATAGCAAAGTATGGGTCTTCTACCTGTGTAATTGAAACAGCTTATCTGGGGAGTAGCTTCCACTTTCATGCACACTCTTTCTTGTGGGAGCTCTATTTTTAACTCTTTGAGGCTGGCTAGTATGCCTTGCCATGTTTATTTTAAAATACTCTTCAAGTTAGTCAAACAAATACAATTATTACTATTTAATGCTATTTCCTTACTGTTATCGCTATTTTTAAAAAAGTACTCCCTCATCCACCTGCGTTAATACCAGCTCCTTCTTATCAAATAGCTTTGATTTTTTAGTCTTGGCATTTCCTGTCAGTAATGTCTTTCAATAAAATCCCAGGTTCCTACACAAAAGTCTCCAGAGGGTCTCCTTAATATTTGTTAATTTAAAAACAAAAAAGAGGACCACCTGTTCTGATAGTTGCTTGTTAATGCAAAGGGGAAGGACTTAAAACGGCATAGGCACACTGCAAATGCCATCTGATTCTAGAAATCAAATAGTACTCGGGGTGCTTCCCTACCCATCTCTACTGAAAAGATTAATATTTTCAAGGGAGCACAGGGCAGATGTGTATTCCATGGGACAGCAGTACCTGTTCAGGTTGGTTAGCATTGGAGAGCGGAATGACCATCCAAATGACATTGAGGTTAATGAGGGCAGCGCTGGTGGTGAAGGTACAGGGCAGTACTGCCGTGTGACCCCGGGCCACTTGGATACTCCCAGGGCTTTCTGAGACTTCCAGGGAAGCTGCAATGCCTACAGAAGAAGGAACAGGGATGTTATGTGCTCACCCTTTCCTCACAGTCCAAAGCCCTTCAGAAAAGGTTTGTGTGACTGTAATAAAACTTGGGAAAATTCAACTGATAAGACTTGAGCAAAAATTACATGGTGACGAGAGATCAGAAATAAAAATTTTAAAGCATTGTTTACAATAGTACAACCCAAAATTAAAAGCTTATATATAACTCTAATAAAATACATACAAGATCTATATGCTAAAAAGTATAAAATGTTGATGAAAGATACCAACAAAAACTAAATAAATAGAGGTATATGATGTTCAAGATTTGGAAGACTCAGTATTACCAAGATGCCAATTCTCCTCAAGTTGATCAATGGATTAAGAGGAATCCCAATTTAAATGCCAAAAAGGTCTTTGTAGATATTGACAAACTAATTCTAAAATTTATACGGAAAGACAAAGAACTGGAATAGCCAAAGAAAATCAAAAAATAACAAAGTTGGAAAAATCACACCATCTGATTTCAGAACTTGCTAGAAAGCTATAGCAATCAAGACCGCGTGGTACTAGTGTAAGGACATATATACAAATAAATGGCACAGGATTGAGAGTTATGAAATAAACTCTTATGTTTATGGTCAATTGCTTTTCAACAAAGGTGCAAGACAATTAAATGAAGAAAAGCATAGTCTTTTTAGCAAATGATGCTGGGACAGTTCAATATTCACTTGCAAAAAAATAAACTTGGCCATTTACCTCACACCATACACAAAAAGTCAACTCAAAATGTATCACAGACTTAAAATGTAAGAGCTAAAATGACAGAAGTTCTAGAAGCAAACATCAGAGAAAATCTCTGTGGGTTAGTCAAAGAGGTCTTAGAAACATCATCAAAACCAGGAATCATAAAAGAAAACAAACTGATAAAATGGATTTCATTAAAATTAAAAAAACAAACTTCTGTGCTGCAAAAGACTTCATTAAGAAAATAAAAAGCCAAGGCATAGAATGGAAGACAATATTTGCAAATCATATATCTGATAAAGGACTTATATCCAGAATATATATAATAAACACTATTACAAATCAATAGTCAACCCAATTTAAAAGTAGGCAAAAGATCTGAATAGACATTTCAACAGAGAATACATAGAAATGCCAAATAAACATATAGAAAGATGTTCCGCATCACTATTCATTAGGAAAATACACATTAAAACCATAATAAGATATTACACATCCACTAAGGAGCCCTGGTGGCACAGTGGTTAAGAGCTCAGCTGGTAACTGAAAAGGTCGGCAGTTCAAACCCACCAGCCACTCAGTGGGAGAAAAACATGGCAGTCTCCTTCCATAAAGAGTTACAGCCTTGGAAGCCTAAGAAGCCCTGGAAACCCTATGGGGCAGTTCTACTTTATCCTATAGGGTTGCTATGACTCAGAACTGACTCGATGGCAACGGATTTACTTGGTTTCAGACATCCACTGGATGGCTATAATTGAGACAATACCAACTGCTGATGAGGGTTTGGAGAAACTGGAATCCTCATGCATTGCTGGTGGAAACATAAAATGGTATAGCCACTTTGGAAAATAGTTTCACGGGTTCTTAAAAACTTGGCGACAAAGCCCTACAATTCCATTCTTAAGAACCCTGCAATTCCAAGAATCTACCCAAGTAAGATGAAAATATATGTCCACAAAGAGACTTGTATGTAAATGTTCATAGCAGCATTACTCATATAATGCCCCAAATCGAAAACACATACAAATGTCCATCAGCTGGTGAATGGATAAACAAAATGTGATATATAATATTCAAAATATTCAAAAATAAAGTAACAAACTACTGATGCATAATCCAACATAGATGAACCTCTCAAAAGCATTTTCCTATTTGAAAGAAAGGAGTGCCCGCGTGCCGCAAACAGTTGAGTCCTTGATTACTATCCGAGACACTGGCAGTTCGAACCCACCCAGAGACATCTCAGAAGAAAGTCCTGATAATCTGCTTCAGAAAGGTCACAGCCTTGAAAATCCTGTGGAGCACAGTTCTACTCTGCAACACGTGGGGTCTCCATGAATTGAAATTGATGAGTGGCCAACTGGTTTGGTTTTTGGTTTTAAAAGTGAAAGAAGCCAGATGCAAAAGACTACAAATTGTATGATTCCACGTATATGAAACGTCCAGAAAAGGAAAGTTTATATACAGAGCAAGCAGATCAGTGGTTGCCTAGGGCAGCAGAGGAGGGAGTGGGGATTGATACAAAAAGGCTCATGGGAACTTTTCAGGGTAACGGAAAACTTCTAAAACTGGATTGTTGTGATAGTTGTAAAACTCCGTAAGTTCACAAAATATCGTTGAATTTTATACTTTAAAGGGGTGTGTAGTGGGGAATATAAATTACACCTCAATAAAGCTGTTAAAATGGAAAAAAAAAAAAATAGTGACTCACCCAGAGCCAACTGCTGGGAAGTAAAAATCAACCGTTATCTCTTCTGAAAAGAATGTCTGCCCCCCTGGGACTACAGAAAAGTATGGGGCTAATCGGAGATTAAAATAGGTCAGGGGGAGCCTACAAATAAGCTATGCTGGATCATGAAAAATACATTAAGTTCATGGCAGTATCTCAAGCTGTTTTATTTTGAAGTGATATTATCTCCATTCTCCCAAAAAAGTAATACAATAATGTGCTGTTACGTATTTTAAAAAATAAACTTACATAGCAACTTCCTTCTATAGAACTTCATGTTCTCCACATATAGTCTGATGATGTTCTCAGGAGTTAAATTTGCAGGATAAAATGTCTCATAAAACAAGCCATCTGTGATAGAATATAAAGCACCTGATAACAGCAAGAAAAGTCTCTGTTAAATAGCATTAGGATACGCCTCTAGGTTAAAAGGAAAGTTGGAAGAACCTCAGGCGTTAGAGGCAGAAAAGAAAGGTTATTTGATCATGGAGCAGGCAAAGACTAGGGGAACGAGCTACCTTACAAGGGTAGAAGTGGGATGTGGGCGTGTGTTTCTTGCAATGATTATGGTAAATAACACTGGAGACGTTTCTAAGACTAAGTGTGGAAGCCAACCTGGTGGCACAACCTCCATGACTTGGGTCTTCAGACAACATTCCAAGGAAGAAGTGTAGGAAATTGTCTGCCCCCTTCAACTCTACAGGATAATGTGTGAACTCCACATCAATTCACTAATTTCAAGCTAAACTCAAACAATCTTTGATAACAAATTCTAAAAAGAAAAAATATGACCAATATAAACTAGAGCCCTGGTGGCGCAGTGGTTAAGAGCTTGGCTGCTAACCAAAAGGTTGGCAGTTGAAATCCACCAGCTGCTCCTTGATGAAGCAGAAAGATGCAGATGGGAAAAAACTACAAAAAAGTAGCAGTGTCCAACTGGAAGAAGAGATGTGTAGGATAGGGCAGGCGCTGGGGAAAACAAAGCAGGTCTGCTGGCAGAGAGCAAGCCTCTGGTGGTAGCAGCTACGAACGACAGACTTCATTTACTTCACATTTTTGTGAAAAGTTAATCCTGAAAACACAAGCCTTGAGAGAGTTGCAGAAGAAATATTCCAGGTAAGTTTTTTTCAGAACTTGTAAAAGCATGTGATTGAAATCAGACAGATCTAGTCTGAAATCTGGCTCTTACATTTACTTAGCTGTGTGGCCCCAAACAAGTCACATAATCTCTCTGAGTCTGTTTGTTTGTATGCAAAGTCGGACTAAATACTGCCATCAAAGGGATTTGATGAGTGTGGTGCCAGACGCCAATGATAACTACTACTGCTACTTCTGTTTATTGCTAACTAACATTTACAGCACACTGACCATATTCCAGGCCCCCACTAAACACTTCACATATATTAACTCATTGAATCCTATGAGGTATCTACTGATATTACCCTCATTTTACAGAAGAAACTGAGGTCCAAAGAGAATAAGAAACCACGTCACAGTCATATAGCTAGGAAGCAGCAGGTTCTGGATTCAAACCCAGGCAGTCTGCCTATAGAAAACATACACTTTACTGCATATAACTCAACAATTAGAAATCATTCCATAAATGTTTGCTATTATTATCACCACTATATTATACAGTCACAAAATTTTAACCTAGAATGGACTTTTATGATAATCTGGAAAAATGTAAAGCCATCAAATGGGAACTCCTTCAATGTCCTGCTTCTAAACATACAAATCAGCTTAAATCTGCCTCATCCTCTTCTTCCTCTCCCGTTAGAGGAGCTGCCCCCTTATGCACGGCCAACCCCTCCACCTGAGCTTTGAATTCCATGCTCTTGGCCTCCTTAGTAATCTTACCTTATCATAGACTATCCCCTGTTACAGCTTCAACCTCTCCCTATGCACTGGAGCCTTACTGTTAGCATTTAAACATCCTCAAGTATTCCAACTTAAAACCAAATTCTTCCCTCCCTCCACTTGACAGTTGCCTCCAGGAGCTGTCCCCTCTCTGATAACTCACTGCTAATCTTTTTCAAAGAGTGGTCTGTGTTCACTTTTTCCACAGACTTCTTCTTTCACTCATTCTTCAATCTACTTCTGCCCCCATCATTCTTAAAAATAATTCCCCCTAGGTTTACCAGAGACCTCCATGTGGCTGCACGACATTTGTATTCATTTCTGGACTTTCGGTAGCATCAAACAGTGATGACCATCCCCTCCATCGTGAAACACGCTTTCCCCTTAGCTTCAGTGATATAATGCACTTCTGTTCGGTTCCTATCTCTCTGGACACTTGTTAGTCTCCTTTGCTGCCTCACCCTTCTCTACATGGCTGTTAAACGTCAGCATTCCTCAAAGGGTTGCTTTCTCTACTTATTTCTAAACCGTCTCCCTACAGAATCTCATCCACAATTGTAGTTTCCAATCTAATATATATGCCAATGGTCTCCAAATTTATCTCTTTAACCTAAACCTCTTCTCTTATATCCAGATGCCTCTTAGACCTCTCCACGTGGCTATCTCAAAGGCACCTTAGGTCAGCCTGTCCAG